TCTCAGGTGGCAAAAATAAAACCTGCATTTAGGAATAAGAATAACTTAAGTTTGAGTGAACAATAGAGAAGTAAGAGGAAGAATGCCTCTGTAGCATGGTAGATAGGCTGCTCACCTGCCAGGTCATTCCTCACATTCCAGGCTTCAGTCTAGTGAGTATTTAAGGATGTTATTCAATGCAGAGCACCTTTTCAATAACTGAGACTGAAAGCAACCCACCCCGCAACCCAGTACTTACAAAGTGCTGCTACCTTACAGGGAAACAGCTGGACTCCAATTCCCTTGTACAGATAAAAGAATTAAAATAGTTTCTTCCAGCCTCTTGAGTAAATGATCCTGTCCAAATGACTGGCTCAGGATGAGATTAGTACTGGTATCACAGCAACCTATCTTCTCTGTGTCATTTGTTCCCTTAACTTTTACTGAAAATGCCTGAAAATGAAGTATTCCATTTTTGATTGGAGGATATATATCCAAGAGGAAAATGAAAGAAAAAAAAAAAAAAAAAAAAAGGAAAGGAAAAGAAAAGGAAAGGGTTTTTTTAATTAAGAGATGAAATTAAGTAAATTTTTGTGACCATTTTGAACGGTCAGTTATTCAGTGAGCCCTGTTGCTAAGCTGCTCATAATGCTTTTGTCCAATGTATTTGGTTTACCTAGTATATTTTAAAATACTAGATTTCTGAAGAGAATTAGTGTTAACAAAACACATTCCACAAGAAGTCCGAAATCACGCAAGTAAGGCCATCTTCATAGCCTAAACCTAATCTAATCTGCTAGAAAGATAACCAAGGGCTATAGTTTAGGCCTTATAAGCCTTTATATAGCATTTCAAAATCCAGGAGGGTTTTGTTTTTATAACTCCTCCAGCTTCAGGTAGAAGCTATTGTTTTGGAAGTCTCCTTATTGCCTTGTAGATTAGGACATGGGCTACTTGAAGGATGCTTCTTTTTCTTTTCTTTCTCCATTGGGTAGACATTTTAGCTATTTCTGAAGCAAGATGTCATGTAAGATCCATCTGTGATAACTATGTGATTAAAGGCCACTGCTATAGTTTAGAATGAGCTACTTAGGCCAGAGATGGTGGGGTGTGATCTGATGTACTCTACTGTATGTACTGATCTATTTGGATTTAAACAGTAGTAGAGTTTTTGCTGAGCCCATGCTCCAAATTGAATCTACATTTCTTTAACAAAATTCCTGAAGGAGAGCAAGCCAAAAATACACACAGCCAGTCTGCACTGTGAGCATTGGTTGGATCAGTAGGTAACACTTTGCAATTATAGGGCTTTTCTGTCAGTATAAATTTTAAGTCAGTTTTATAAGAATGAATGTAAAACTACAATGATTTATACTCAAAGGAGACAATAGTCTCTGAGGATTTCTAGCTCTCCTTCAGACTATGGCAATCTAAAAAGCACTGAAGGGAAATCCATAAGGCTACTGAAAATCAAAGCAGGAAGTCAAACTGTTTAGGAGCTGTGTAAGAGCATTCCATATAACAACATATACTGTCCATAAGCATTTTGCCAGATGTATACCTAGGTAAGAGAGCACAGTCTTAAATAATCAGAAGAARAGATGACCAGAATCTGTCTTGCTTCATCACATACAAATTCAATGAGCATCCAAACTTATTTTCTGGGAGAGAAATCATGTCTGTCGTCATCTAGTCTGTATTAGGAGGAATGTTTCCTTCACCAGGCTCTTTCTCTCCACCTAAGAGCCATCATAGCAAAAAAAAAAAAAAAAAATATTATTGACTAAATCTGTGTCTGAGGGCACAGTCTAATGTAGTCAGTGTAACTTTCAGTTAAATAAAATGCAGTGGCATTACCTTGGGTGTTCATGACAGGAAAGGACAAGTAAATAATAAAAGTTTATTTCTTCAAGTCAGTGTCTTCTATATTTTGAACAAAGTTCTGTAAAAAATKAGAACTTTAGGATAATTCCCAACACTTCTTATTCTGCTGTTTAATCCAATACATTTGGGAGTTACTTTTGATCTTGAGGTAAAGTTTACCACAGGCTGAACTGCCCAGCTCCCAAACAGAGCAGCTGCAGTAACCCGCCAGGCTCCACACAAAGATTACAAAGATACTGATTAGTAAAGGGTGCTTCGGTCTTCCTCCTCCCTCACAGGTAGCACCTCCTTGGCACAAACAGCCTTCTTCTCAGCTGTCTTTTATTGCTCCCAAGGAAAAATGGTGTTTATTGTGAGTCAGGATGGAAGAGTTGGACCCTTGGTGAACAAAGAGTCTGGGATTATCGCTCCCAAAAGCCCCCTGAGGCCCGTATCAAGAGTTATTAACCACTGGTTCAGCCCATAGCATTATTTTGTAGGCTTAAGTGGGATTTCAGTGGTATATTGGGTCTTGTGTCTGGGTAGGGGTGAATTTTTCTCTCTGTTATTTTATCTTATAAATAGCTGTTGCAGTTTGTCTTTTACATTATTGTTTAGATCTTTTTCAAAGGTATGGTTTCTTAATCCCCCGCTGCTTTTTTTCCCTTTCTTCTAATAAAGGATAAATAAATTTGCAAATCCACACATGGCTGAAACAAAAGGCAAATAAGCTGTGCACGGCTCGTCCTCAGGGCTGGCTGATGATTTCAGTCATCGTTCAGTTGAAAAGCAGGAGCTATGATTGCTAAGCCTCGTTATTTTCAATGAGGCCTGACAGCTCCAAGGTTAAACAGCAGACAGCTACTTTCATCCCAGTGGTGTTTCTCTTCAAACACGGGCAGTTCTTCGCCAGCTCCCCTGCCCTGGTGAGCAGTGTCACTGGTTGCTCACAGTGGTGCAGATGGAAGCGGGGTGCAGGACAGGCTCTAAGCAGCGACCCTCGGACTCACGTCCCCCTTAAAGACACCTCAGCTACTGAAAGTATTTTCCCCTGTGTATATAAGCCAAGCAGCAGCTTTTTGTAACTGGGCTACAAATTAAATAAGCTGTGATTTTCCCTTTTCTTTCTGCTGTCTCTCAGAAAACAATAGCAGTTGCAGTTCAGACCTTCTGTTTGTCCAAGCTACTTGGCATGTTTCTCCCACCCTTTATGTTTCAGAGGAGAGGGATTTGCTCCTGGAGCGCATTAGGGAAGATGCTACTGAGAGAGAGACCTCCAGTGATGCTTAAAGTGGTAGCGAAAGCTGGAATGATGCTTCCTAACATCCAGGGGTCAAAGGTCCTCACTGCCACTACAAGCGAGGGCTGATCTCTCGTTGCTTTCTGAAATGTTGTACATGGGCTAAGAACTGATTTAACACCTAAGCGTCTCAGTAGCAGGGTCTGAGGAAAATATGACCTAACAGTAACTACAAGTCATAATGTTTAGAATCCAGGAAACATTGATTTAGCCAATGTAGAARAGCTGTCGGGAGAAAATAAGCTGCAAAATCCCTGACTTGTCACTTGTGTAGAATGACTAAAGTAAGATAGAGTCTCCATGCAGCCTCCATAGAGACGAGCATGTACACTGGTGTCTCGGGGGAAAAAAACAGGGGGAAAAATAGGGGGGAAAAAAAAGTGTCACTGGCGTAAGAAAGGAAAATTGAAAAAGGAAAATAAAAGTGATCCATGGAAAACTGGAGAGCAAGGAGCAGTGTTTTACCTGTGCTTGGAAAGCGGAACTGACAGTCATTAAAAGCTGATTTTTTAGTGTCCCTGTACAGCGACTAGAACCCGCTGAACTTTCCACATCCATTTGCTGCTGTTTGAGAGGTGGCTTTAGGGTGGTGAATTCTTAATCTCATTTCAGGAATTGTGTCACCTGGTGAGTACAATAAAAGGTGTAGCTTCACAGTGCTTGGTGGTTCCTGGAAAATGAGAGTGTTTCAATGCATACAGTGCACATTAGTCACTTGTGGCAATAAATCCAAGATGTGGTAGCTAGTTTTCCTGCATTGCACTTATTAATGTATCCATTAGATGAAGGGCAGTTTACAGCTTTGATAAAGCTGTAGTGTTTACATTTCCTATCTACATTCCTCATGTTGTAAATTTTTTTTTTTTCAATCTTTCTTTTCAGGTCAGAATGTTACAGTAGTGAATACAGCTGTTTGAATTTGGAGCTTTTCATTGCCACTGTGGAAGTTGTGCGCTAACATGCTGGGCATGGCTCTGAAAACGTTCTGCTGTCTTCACTGTCTAGTTTTATACTTTTTTGGTTTTTTTTTTTAGGAGGGGTCACTGGAGAACTTCATAAAATACAGATAAAATGAAGAAATAGCTTGACTATGTGTTTACTGGAGTGCTTAGGTTAAACATGTGCAAATGGAAAATCCTATTCAAATTTAGTGCTTTGAGTTTTCCTACATACAAAGGAAAGAACAAATAAGCCAAAGAGATGCTGGACATGCTTATACCAGGTGCATTAAATCTAAAAGAGTCTTAGGCGTCTCTTTGTCCTGCTTACTTAGACAGTAAATTATTTTGTATCGACGTAACAGTCATACAGGCCACCTTCAAATGCCTTCACATGCATCTTTGGAAATCCATCTTATCGTGCATTTTGAAAAAGCTTTTGAGGTGGATTTTAGGCATAAATTTATAAACTAGCCAATAAAAGTATCTTGTGCATTAAATAACAAGCAGGATATTTTTTAAGGAAAATCAACAAGTGTTACATTTTACAGGAACCATGGACCACTCAATACCTTAAGAACCGCAGAACATAGTGCTTGCACAGCAAGGTGTATGTGCAGCAAGATTGCTGCTTAGGGGTTTGCATTAATCCCGTATGAGGACTTCAAATGCAGTATACACTAAAAAAAAAAAAGGTGAGTTGATAGATACCACTGTCTGCAAAGGGGCTGGGTTGTAGGTTAAAAGTTTTCTGCAAGTTGTCTGCGTTTTCCCTTAATGTCTGTCTTTTACAGTACTGCTTTGTTTCTCGGCGGTACCACCACCAGGACAGCTTGGTTGAGTGCAAACACTGTCTCTTTCAGCCAGAGCATTCCTGACGCTCGCTTCTTTATTTTCTCCTCTCCCCTGCCCCCTCGCAGGTTGGAAAGACTGGTGGACGTCCTGAGGAAGAAGGTTGGTGCGGGGACCATTAGGACCGTGATCTGATTGAAAGCTCCAGTCTAAGGAAGCATTCACATCTGGTGACCAGGCTGCTTCATTCAGCGCTGTGTAAACACTAAAGCCTTAACTTAGCAAACAGTTGTTAGAAGTGGGACACTCCAGCGACATTCCAAGCTGAGATAAAATCAAATCATAAATGTTTAACTACTTTGCTGCTGAGTTCTGTGATTTGTCAAAATATTTCACTGCAACATATATTTGTTTTTAAGCAGATGCATTGTGGCACTATGCGCTGTGAAAAATGATGTGGATGCTTTTTCTATCAGTCTGTTTGTTGTCTCACTGTTGCTAGACTGTAGTCTGCTGCAGGACACAGCCTGATCATATTTTCGTGCTTCGGGTGCAAAATCCTGCAAAGCAGTTTCCAATTTTAAATCTCTGATGTTATTTCTAAGCCTGTTAACTAAGCAGTATTTGTATATTAACTATATTAATTGATAAAGTAGGTTCACATTCAAAAATATCTCTGATTACTATCTTGGATTTTTTTCCCCTCACTCTTAGCAGTTATGGCTAATAGCTACAGCTGTATCTGGAGGAACAGGTTCATATATTGCTGTGTGAAAGCTTCATAACATTATACAGTATCTCAATCAGTAGACATTTTTCTGAATTGCTGTTGATCTGTCCTTTCCTGTGAGATAAAATCTCTCACTTACTCAAGATCCATCTTATAGAATCAGAACTCATGTTTCCAGTGTAAAATGTGTTTCTTACCCCTTTCCTACAAGAGTTTCTTCTAAGTGGAAACTAGTACTTTTGACTCAGCAGCAGCATCTAGGCTGAATCTGAAGCCACACTACAAACTCCCCAATTTGTTTATTCCTCAAGTGCCCTCAGAGTGAACTGTAAGGCTGTTCAGGCGACAAGAAGGGGGGAAAACAGAAGGGTAAAGAGAAAAAAATCAGGTACACCTGTGTTCTAGACCTTGCAGACACAGCCAGAGTTAGCCATAGAGCTATATATGTGACCTCCATASGTACACCTCCATGTTTTCTACTTGTTTGTGGCACATGATTGAAGTAGAGAGGTCAGCTCAGTGCTCTGAAGTGCCATGCTCAAGAAAGGCAAGYGTGAACTCTAAGCAGCTCAAATTCAGTACTGACTTTCTGAAACACAATGGGCTTTTAACTACCCCTAGGATAGCCAGCTTAAGCAGAGTGAATGTTGCTGCTAAGGCTTCCACTTGGTCACTCTGCTTTGCCTTTAATGTTGTTATGCTGTCTTCTCAGATTTTGCTTGTACAAATGTAATGAAGGATTGTTCTAGCAAAAGAATGAAGAAGAAAAAGAAACTTTAATTTGGGCTAGATGGAGACATTCTGATCCTTTTCTCTCCTTTCAACCACTTCCACATTAAACTTTCATCTTCTGCATATCTAAGATGCTCACAGTTTCAATCCACCAAGTCTTGCCCCTTGCATGGAAATTTGTAGCATTCTGCAGTCCAAATTTGCTAGAGTTTTTTTTCTAGGAAATTCAGAAGTGCGCAAGACAGACAAGGAGTCAATCCCACACACTTAGCGGGAAGAAAGTTTAATGCTTCCAGATCTGAATACTGTCAACCCCGAGCTTCCAACTTCTTAGTCTTCTGGTGTATGCTGCTGTCCAAGGCTTGAAAGATTCTACTACTTTTTTTTTTTCCTTACTATAATTAGTAAATAGAGCGCAGACAAGATCTTCTGAGCTCTTGGTGCCACTGAACCAATTTTGATTTAAGGAAATGGTCAAGGAAGAAAGAAGATATAAGCGCTACCATATTATGTTTCACCAAAGACCCAACTAGCCAAAAAAAGTACTTTGGACAATGACCAATAGTGAAGACTAGGTTATAAGGTTACAAAATCAGAGCAGATGCTGGTGACCCTTCACCAGAAGAGTCTTCTGGCATCTTGCAATTTATCCAGTAAACACTTTCTTAGTCAGAGGTGGTGTTTTTGCATTTAGTACCATGTAAGAGCTTTTTTTTTTTTTTTTTTTTTTTTTTTTTTTTTTTTNTGTGTGTGTGTGTGTATAAGTGAGCAATTTTTAATTCCGTTAAGATCTCGGGATCTACACTGTCCTATGACAAGCAGTCCTATAGGACTAAGGAAAGAAGTATTTCCTTTTCTTTATTTTGAAACAGCTAGACCATTTTGATACCACCAAGTTTTCATGTTAAAAGAGACAATGAAGAAACATTCTCTGTTCATACTTTTTCAGTGCCCCTAGTGATTCTCTGTATTTCACATTGGACCCCTATCATCTCACTTATGGACAGAAGCTTTAGTCTCCTGTAAACAGGCTGTGCCATGTTTTTAATTGGCCTTCTTCCACTAATCTCTTTCTTTTCTGGTTCTGTGGTGTTTTTGCCCAGATTTGGCCAGGGAATTCAAGGTGTAGACAAACGTTAGTTTATCAGCTGGAATGCTGATGTTTTATCTTTCTGTCCTCCCATTTATGATCATTTCTAGTATTGGTTTTGTTTTATGACATCTGGTGTCTGTTGTATTTTTCTCCATAATAATTCTAAATCTCATTTGTCAACTGTAGTACTCAGAGTTCATTGTAGAGTATACGAAAACAGGACTGTTTTCTGAATACAWAACTTTGCATTTATCAGCAATGAATTTTACCTGCTCTTCTATTATGCATTACTGAATATCATGAGTTTCTATTGCATCTCTTCTCAAAGCTCATCTTTCTTATCCACAGCATATTATCAGCAAACATAACCATTCCAAATTAGGCCCCTTTTCAAGGTGATTTTGGAGTATGTTGAACAGCTTGCTCTGGCTAGGATCCGTGTAGGACAATAAGGTGACTTTGCTCTGTTGTGAAAATGATGCATTTGTTCTTCCTCGTAGTTTAAATCTAACTTTTAACCACTTACTTACCCAGGAAGAAGGAACTCTTACTCCTTGACAGCTTTAATGAGGAAGCTTTTTTGCTGCTCTGGAAATGATGAAAGTTACTGAATCAGGACGTGTTTTCCATGCGTGAATGGGCTAAGTACCTCCTTCACCTGGGTATATCTAGAATTCCCCTTCCTCCTCTGATTATTTTCTACTCTGAGCAACTAATATTGTGGTGCAGGTTTCATACAGCATGATTGCTTGACCTCTTTCCTCTCATGTTAGCTGGCTCTATCTAGGAAAGTAGGTTCAGCCAGTCAAAAGCAGTCTAGCAGTCTTAATATCAGATACATCTGGGGTTGGATAACACAGAATTCTGCAAAATTCAGTGATAATTTTACTTCTTAATTTTCCCATGCCACGATATACCTTATTTCCTGACTCTATGTTGTGTCTTGTACCAGGTAGGCTGAAATTCATTGAGGTTTTTAGTTATGTTTTTATCACCCTTAAGCTAAGTGACTTTGAATCACAGTTAAATTAGGTATTGATTTTTAAAATTCAGCTAGATATGTTTGTCTTCTTTGAGAAACACCTTGGGAAATTCACTGCGCTGAGAGAAAAAGATTTGGGAACACTTGGGTTCTAATTCTTCCTTGCTAATAACTCGGTGTGCAGTCTTTGATAAATCCCTTAGTAACAGGTCTAAAAGGTGTGTGCCCTCTAAAAGTGCATCTTGAGTTAGTTTTCAAGATGTGGATAATATCATCTGTCTGTGATATGAAAATGGTTAATATCATTCATAACATCACATGTGGCTTTCATTGCATAATTTATTCATGGTAAACTGATTGAGTTCTGTCCAGTTATTTGAAGGTGGAAAAAAAAAAAGCAGACAAATACAATTTTCATTTCTGTCCTAATTTATAACAGAAGGGTGAGATTGCATCAGATTATATAATAGGAGGAGCAATTTGTTTGCCTCCCCATGGAACAACAGTTCATGACAAAAGGTGGCTCACCATAGGCAGTGATTATGATGGCTGTAATTACTGGTCAAATTAGTATCTCTGTAGTTTTGAAGAACACTGAGAYGCTCAGAAGTCTTCTCTCCTCCTGAGATTTTGTGAATTTCTCTGGATGATTCTGCAGCAAGTTATGCATTGGGAGCCATTTCTGATATATGGCATGGTAAAATATGTAAATAGCATCACGTTGATCTCAGGATAAGAGAGTTATTAATGCTTTTCGGCGCTGTAATTATATTCATAGTAAGCCTTCCCTAAGCCCTCACTAATTAACAATATTGTGACAAATCAACTTTAACAGAAAAGAACTGTGGACCTTTAGTCATTTAGTACTGTTTTTCATTCAGCCCACAACCCAAAACTGATACCGTGGTTTTCTTTACTAGTGTCAGGAAAACTGCGGATATTTGAAAAGTTCAGAGCCTGCTCATTCWTGTTAATGGAACCCTGTAGATGGAATCAGTTTGATTCCTCTTTAAATATATTCACAAGAAAGTAAGAGTCATTAGTTAATCATTAATGTAGGGGAATATTAAAACTGCTTTTACAAGTAAGCCGTCATATTGAAGTAGTTTGGTAATGTCAATATGTTTTCACAGGAACATTTATTTATGTATTTATTCCAAATCACAGGACGTTTCACAAGATACTCATTCACCTTAATTTTCAAATTAAAATGTCYTTATAAATATTCTTATAAGGTTATCAAGAGTGTAATATCCTTAATCTGTATACACAAATGAACTTGCTATCTAAATGTCAAAGTTTCTCTATGCTCTGCCTTTGTTTTCCTCTTTTAGGATAATACCAGTTAAAACCTGCTTTTTTTTTTTGATATGTACCCCATAAGATTTTTCTCATGTACAAGAGCAAACTGTGAGACACATTAAATTGCTGTCTGACAGTTTCTGTGATACTATTCTTGCTATGATTGCAGCATTACATGTACTCACTCTTATCATTCTACCATTTCATATGAGGTCTGAAAAACTGGACTTTTTCTATTTGTTCTTCTCATGCATTGGTAAATAAAGCGTATTCACAAGTCCAAAAAACCACAGTGTTCTTCTCATATTAGGTTGATTATAAGTCAGCTGTTGAGCTTCAGTGGTCTAAACATTTCATTCTTCAATTTCGTTGGGAGCACACGTGTTCTGGGAAGCTTTTAAACAAATACTTGAAATGGTTGAAAGATTTACATTGCCAGTGCCTAGCTAAATATGTAGTCTTTAGAAAAGACATGGTTTATTTTGGCATGGTTTAAAAAACTCAGATATTTTAAACATTTGTTAAGTTGGAGCTTGCACATTTGAACTAAAAGTTTGCATTCCAAAATTGCATCTCAGGTTACCTTTCTCCCTTTTGTATTTTATAATCCCCATAATAAAGTAGTCTTTGCAAAAGGAGTGAATTTTTAGATAATGGTAAAATATTGCCATTAACTTAATAATTAGGTTAGCCTGGTAACTCTATTCAACTGAAACATAAGAAACTCATGCCCAGAAGTGTCTGCAGAATTTATGGTTCATGCTGGTAGCCAAGACTTGGTTGTAAAATTAATCAACTACGGGAAAATTGTCCAAACCTTACAGTGCTTTACACTTAGTCACTGTGTATCCTGTGATGGGTAAGCACCGACCCTGGAGTTGGATATAGGACCAGACAATAAAAGAAATAGTCTGAAGATGTGCTAAACTCGTGAAACAGAATAGCTCAGGAGAAGCTAACTTTCTTCTGAAGTTTCTGTTTTCTTTTCTGTCTTTCCTTCCCTTGGCAGAAAAAGGAGGGATGGGAGGGAAGAGAGGAGGATATTTTTAAATTAAATGTGTACATATATACATATATATATATATATATATATATACACACACGTGGACACAGCCCTGTGCCACATGCTCTAGGTGACCCTGCGTGTGCAGGGGGGGTTGAACTAGATGATCTCTAGAGGTCCCTTCCAACCTTAGGGATTCTACGATTCTATGGATTCTGATATATTTCACCTTTGATTTTCTATTAAGTTTCAACCTGAGACTTGTACTGAAACTTAAAAGGTGACAATGTGTAAATTGAAACCACCATATTTTRTATAAATCATGCCAGAAACCCCTTTCAGTGCCTGTGCTTTGGTCAGGGGCCAGCTGCAAGGGGTCATACTCATTTCTGAGAAGTTGTCTTCAGAGGGAGTTTGGCACGTTTCCTCCATGGTTGCATCGGGCCAAAGGTCCAAACAGTGTCTCATTTACGGGAGCTCATGGCTTGCGAAAGCAACAGAAGCAAATCCATTGTCATATTGTAAA